GCTCATCACCAGGTCACGTCGCAGAGCCACAGTACACGCAACTGCGTGTTTTGTTATGTCTTTCCCTCTAAACCGCAGGTCTCATTCACAACACCTGGGAAATAGAGGAAATGAATACTGAAAAGCATAGCTCCTAACCTCAAGTAGCTTACACTTTTTTAGGAAGACGCCAACAAGGTAATCAAACACAATTACAGTGAGACAAGCACACAGGGCAGTGGCGAAGATGTTTCCTATCTGCTGTGTAGTTTGCTGAGTCAGTGTCCACAAGTGCAGGCCAACCTTTGTCAAAGACTCAGGGATGTCGACGGCAACAAAGAACCAGTGTCAGAGACTCTTCTTTGACTCAGAGGCACGAAGAGACCACAAGGGTTGACAGAGCTGGTTTCCGGTCCTGTTTTGTCATCTATTGTCTGGAGGGCTTCGGACACATGAATGGTCTCTGCTAGGCCCTGGTTCTCTTGTATGGCACTGCTCCATGGTGAAGGTGCTCGGACAGACACTGACCACAAAAAGACGTTAAAAACCAGGAAAAGCCACTCTGGGAGTGTTAAAACTGATATTCATTTTTTGTTAGTAAAATGACTTGGAATTAATACCTAAACCTACCACTCATCCAATATTAACACCTACTGACGTAGTGTGAGATGTTTGTTGCTTTGCTGGACTCCAAGAATTAAAAAACCTGATTCCTGCCACAGAAAATCTAGTTTGTTTGGGGAAGATGAGGCGGCTGCTCATCGTATTAAAATAACTACCAAGAAAAATATGGTACGAGCTAAACAAGGTATCGGTGTAAAGGAGTTAAAAGCGGAAGCCTTTCCAGGTGGGGTGGTGGTCATGAGAGTTTTGTGAAGATGAAGCACTGACTTCAGGGGGCCGTGTAAGCAAAGACTATAAATTCTGAGGTATAGAAAGGGAATTTTAGGGTAAACGCACAAGAAAGGGTGGGAGAACAAAGATCTCCAATCAGAACGGCACACCACTCGGCTGCAGGAGCAGGTTTCACAGGACACTCTGGTTGGGGACACACGGGGGCAGGCAGACCCCAGGAGGTGGTGGCGTCCTGGGGCCTCTGCTTCCCTAGGAGAGGGGAGCACATGTGCCGGCTGCTCCCACTCTCACAACACCACCCCGCAGAGGGCCTGGGGTGTGGCCACAACGGGTCCTGTCCCCCTGCAGCGTCCTCAGTCTTAGCTCAGATGTGCCGTTAGGCTCGTCAGATAGAGGGAAACTACACCAGAGTCTAGTACATTGATCCTGATTTTCAGTTTGGGGAAAACTGTCTCAAGAGACTCATGTAAGGAGAGCAAAGGGGCTATCACTGCCCCTTCTGTTTCCACCAATGGGGAGAAAGAGGACAGCAGAAAACATGCGAAGGTCCTCCTTCTATTGGCTGCGACAGATCACGTGCGGGGGAATAGCGCTCTTTTCCTGCCTCTCTTGGAAGTTGAATCCTCCAATCTTGATATATGGAATCAATACTATATTCTTTATAAAATGTACAGTTGACACCTGGCCCTTAGATACAGTCTCACTTTCACTTGATGAGACAATCACTAAAAGGAAGGTAACATTCAAACACAAACAAACGTTCAGCCCTGATTTTATAGACAGCAGTTGCTGGCTCTCAGCAAATCCCACACAGAGGAATTCATGTCTCTTACTCATCACCCTGTCCCCAAGCACAGGGCACGCGGGGATGGGTCCAGCGATGGCTTTCATGTGCATTTAGTTGTGATTGTGGGTTTCCTGTCAGCGGGTAAGATAAAAGCTTTCCTAAAGTAAGTAGAATAATTTGATAAAAGGCAAATGAAAAAAAACAAAAACAAATGGAGTGGAATCTGCCTCAAATAACTTAAAAAACAAAAATCAAAGCAAAAGAAAACAATAGCTACAACCAAAAAAGACTTATTATTTCCTCCTGAACTGAATTCCCATCTGCTTTTAAATGGCAACATGTTTTTCCATCAACCGGGAGCTACAGCCAAGAAGCCAGAGACAAAGAGGTTCTGGCCACGGGGGAGTGACAGGCGCTGGGACACTGAAAGATGCTGCCTGCCAGCCTCCAAGGGGCCTCCCCAGTGACCGAGTCCCCCCACAGCTGGCAACAAAGTTCCTCGTGGGACTCTCCTGAGGATTACAGAAATGCTTCGAATCTTTGGCCAGCCTCTCCAGGGAGAGACAATGGGGTAACCCAGAAGGTTTAGGGAGTTATTTCAAACACTGGCCTGTGTGACACTTTTATGGAACAAGGTTGATTGACCAAAATAAAGCACCAGGTGGAAAGAAAAAAATTTTTTTAAAAGAAACCTCTATCCCAGTCATTAAAAGTACCACCAGTGTCATCTCCATCCTAATCATCTTCTACAACATTTTAGTTAAAATTAAAAGTGAAAAGCACTCACAATTAAAATAAGCATTTTACATTTGTGAAAAACAGACCGAGCAATTTCCTCCTATCTGGTTCACCTGGCCAAATTCCTGTTCACACAGTTAACAGTGTACAACTGCATAAAATGCCTTTATGTAGCTGTGACTGGACCACTCTCCTACAAAGACAATTAATTGATCTGGGTTTTCATTTTATACCAAAAGTGGCCAACTCTGAGAGAGTGGCTGTGCTTGTGGCAGGGTGCACTCCTACGAAGTTAGGGGCTCCTCTCGATGGTGAGAATGGAAATCTGTTTTTCCTAAGTATAATCTTGAAAATCTTTCTTTTTGCTCCCCCAGCTTATTAAGTGTTTCTTAAATATGTACTATGGAGCAGGTTCATAATTTTGAAAATATTTTTTTTTTCCAGTTTACTAAGTGTCGGTGAAACGTGCAGCAGGCAGCAGGGCCTCTGCTGAAGGGCGCGGCCTTAGTCTGGGGAGGACATGAGCCCGTCACATCAGTGGTACCATGTCGAGTCTGTAGAAGTCAGGAGACCGAGATTCTGGCTTTGAATTTTTTTACTATTCAAAAAAATCAAAATGAATTTTGGCTCTCAATATTGTAGCACCATTTTTACTCTGATGGAGAGTGGGGAAAAAAGATGAGATCTTATATTTTATCTAAAGCTAAATTCTATCTGTCTTACATTTCTTATTTATGAATTTTAAGACTTTTAAAAACAATGATAATAGTTCTCAAACAATTGGGCACTTGTGTGAATTACCTAAATATTCACCCGCCCCCCAAAAAACAAAACACCCAAAAATGTGGTACAAACCTGTGCTGTCTAAACTGTAAATCCCAGAACTACTATGATATAGCTCCGGAACAAAATTTCTATAAAGTTGTAATAATATACTGGGGCCACAGAGGGATACCCTCCCCCATCCAGCATTATGGGACACAGATGTAATTCGAGCAGGAACAGAATTTTTTGCTCCTTTTCCTGTGAGCACTTTCAGAAGATCTGATATAAATGTTAATCAGAAATGAATGTGCTTATATTTTAGACTAAATAAGGCATGTACCACCTAAGAACTAGCAAGCTGGTATGATGACTCCTGGCACCATGTGAGTTTTTTCCTTTCAGCCAGACAGAACCTCACTGCTTTGATTTTTTTTTGCTCTTCATGTTACTACTATAAATTGCTTCCAAGTGAGAAAAGCACATTGATGCCTTCTAACTGCTCTTCCACCTCACTCAGCTCAGGTGAGAGATTTATGGCTTCTTCTCCTTGCTGTTTCCTCTAAGTTGACATAGCATATACATGATGCCAGTGCCTGGTCTCACATCAAAAACGGAACTCGAGAAAAGCTGGAGCAGTCAGTGAACAGTAGCTATATGTTCCTTTTAACTTTGGGATGGTCATGCCCAGAGATGCTCACAGGACTATGGTTTCAGACAGGACTTAAAAGTGAACGCACTCCAACCGCCTCTCCACCTACTTACTACACGGCACTTCCCCCCTACCCCTCCCAAGTGGAACTGAAAAAACTAACGGAGGAAAAGCAAATATACACAGTTCATACTTGAGACAGAACAATGAGATCTGGCATTTATTTTGGTTGTTGTCATTAGTGATGACCTTGTAATACACCAAGTTCAAGTCCACACGTAAACTTACCTACAGGACTCTCTGAGCACCACCACTGATCTATTATGGTTTTTACAGAAGACAGGTAAAAACCAAAAGCAAGCAAAATAGAATATGCAGTCGCTGTCTTCTGGGTAATTCAAAATGAAAAGAATCTATAATTTCTAACTTGAAAAATATTAATTTCCCAGTCAGTACAAATCCCTATCAGTGGTATTCAGGAGATAGTCCTGTGTTGAGGAATATAGTTTGTCCTTTTCTTAAGAAATGCATGTATAGAAAGATGCACAATTATCTTAATGGAATTTTATTTTGTAAATAAAGCAGCCTAAGAGCTGCTACATACAGAAAAAATATTTATCTGCCATACATACAACTTCCATACTTTCACAGAGGTCTGCTAGTCTTACTGAGAGTATGTTTTCAGTTAAGGGCAGACTGTCTGCCCCTTTTATAGTTTTTATGAGAGAATCTTGGTTAATACACAAGCGGACTGAGATAATTTCCCAAAATGACAAAAGGTGACAGTGTTATAATCTTTTGTAGTTCAGAGCGCTCGCATGGTGCCCTAATTTACTTTTATGACCTTGTTGAGACGTCAGGTGGGACAGCTGTACATTATTTCCATTTGATAGGTCAAGAAATCAAAGTTCAGACAGGTGCTTGTGGTTGGAAGCTACTCTGTCAAGAAGCCCCAAAGTCAAGTCCTGCTTCTAGTCCTATGTCCTCTCCACTATGTTATGCTACTTCTCTGAAGACTACATTTTGAGAAATGTAAAATAATTGAGATATAATAGAGGCCAGGTAACATGCAATTTGATTTAGTGATTACCTGTCATGTAGTGCATTTCCTGGTTTAAGATTTCTTAAAACACAGGTACTTAAAACAGTTGGCCTCAAGCAGTCTTTTTGCTAATGCCCCCAAGCAGCCACTTTCCTCCCGCCGAGATGTTCTGAGGACCTTCTTACCTCTGCTCCCGAGTACGTGTCCGTTTGGAGGATGAGCTCATCCACGTCAACGTCCTCGCTGATCGGCATAGAGTGAAACTGCAGGTGGAATACTTCCCTTCTTGTTGCTGCATCTGGTAACGGCACATAGATGATTCTGTCGATTCTCCCAGGCCTCATCAGAGCCTGGAAAGAAGACGAGGCAGCGCGGGTTAGCCAGGCTGGGAACTGACACTGCACGTGAATGGTGCCCAAGGCAAGCGGGCGTCCAGGACCTCTGGTCTCACCCATTGTGAGCCACAGTTAGTAAACACAACACGTACTTGAGACTCTGCAAGCTATTGCAAAGATTCAAACTGATAAATAATGTTCAGAGTACTTCTGAGAGTAGAAAAGTGGTATTTCTGAGAGGCTTTTTGCTCCTCAGCAATGATCAGGTCAGTTAAACATATTCTCTTTCAGGAGAATGCAAATATAACTTCCATTCGTCATATCAAAAGATATTTTTTTTGTAACTTCCTGCAGTAACTCTTAAAATATGGGTTATGCTGTGTTAGAGAGCCCTCAAAATAGCACAGCTCTGATAAAAGAATACTTCTAGCACTGAATGTAGTCAAATCAGCTTTTCTCATATTGCATCGGAGGCTACTGCCTAAATTATCTTAGAGCTAATGAATTCATCTATTTAGAAACATTTTGGGAGCGTTCATTACATAAAACAGGCACTGCTCTTGGAACTAGGAAATAGCATGAATGAGATAGACAAGTGTAAAATTGACTGTGGTGATGGTTACACATGTCCGTGAATATACTAAAAACCAGTGAACTGTATATTTGAAATGAGTAAATTTTATGGTATGTAATAATAGTATCTCAATTAAGCTATTAAAACAGCTACAGGTCTGCAGTGTGTGTGTGTGCGTGTGTGTGTGTGTGTGTGTGTGTGTGTGTGTGTGTGTGTGTGTGTGTGGCTGCTGAGGGGATGGGCAGCTTTTGGTTGGGGTACGAAAGAAAGGTTCTCTAAGGAGGTAACTGATGCAGATTCCCAAAGAAGTCAGCCACAAAGATCTAGGGGAAGAGCATTCAAGGTAAAGGGAACATCAAGTGCAAAGGTAAGAATGACCGGTAGATTCCAGGGAAAGAAAAAAGCCCAATGTGGTAGAAACAGTGAGTAAAGGAAAACAGGCAGGAAATGAGGTCAGAGAGAAAGATCATAAGGCCTTAGAAGATGTGCTAAAGATTCTGGATTGTATCCTACTTGTAATGAGAAGCTATTGGAAGGTTTTAAGTAGGTAAGTGAAATGGAAAGATTTACATTAAAAGGTGACTCTTGTGGGACAAAATCAAAAGGTCTAACATACGTGAAATCAGAGTCCCTGAAGGAGAGAGGACGGGGCAGAAAAAAATATCTTAGGAAAAAGAGTCAAAACTTTCCCTAAATTGGCAAACAAACATAAATTTCCTAATCAAGAAGCTCAGTGAATCTCAAACAAAATAAATAAAAATAAAACCACACCTGGACATTTCATAATCAAACTGCTGAAAACCAAAGAAAATCATAAAAGCTGCCAGGTTGAATACAGGAAACAATGGTTTGAATCAGTAATGATTCTCAATCAAAACAATGGAGGGCAAACACCAGTATGACATCTTCAAAGTGCTGAAAGAATAAAAACGTCATCCTAGAATTTTATTCCCAGTGAAAATATCCTTCAATAATGAAGAAAAAAAATTAAGTCATTTTCAGATGAAAGAAAACCACGAAAATTTGTTTCCAGCAGACCTGCACTACAGAAAATGCTAAAGGAAGTTCTTCAGGTTGAAGGCAAATAACGTACGATGGAAAATGGAATTTTTAGGAACAAATCAAGGGCACTGTAAGTGAGACATCCCCCAAAACGCAGACTACGTCACCTCCAAAAACTTACTCTCATTGCTGGCATAATCACAAATGGCAGTGCTTGAACATTTAAGACACTCACTCATAAGTAGTGAAAAACGGCGCATTTCTATATGTGTACTTTTAAAGTGAAGTGTCCAGAAAGAAGGTGTGAAAGAAGTAAATACAGAAACTAAGGAAGGCAGGAACTCAGGCGTGAACACCTATGAAAAAAACAAAAGCAAAACAACAAACAACAACAACAAAAAAACAGGACCCTAAAAATATAGTTGGGACCATACATAAAACACTACAGAAAAATGCAAACATCAAAACCTCATATGGTGGCTCAGTGAGGACAAGTTCTTAGGGAACCGGCACAAACAAATGAAGATATTCTGTCAGCAATAGATTGTCCTCTGTCTCTGACCCAAGAGTCTCATGTCTGTTGCCAGCCTCCATGAAACTGTGGCAGTCTAGCTGATTAGCTTTCAAATAGGGTAAACTTTTTTAAAAAAAATTTTACCTGATCATGTTCCTATTTAGAATTCCAAACAGATTGTTAGAACTCATGGGGTCAATACCATTATATCTCATACCAGTGCTTCAAAAAATACTCCAGTAAATGTTCACAGATATGAAAAAAGGGTTTTCTTGTTAAATAAGTTTGGGAAATACTGGGTAGAAACGAAATTAAACAGGTTTCCATATGCAGGAATTTTTGGAAACTTTACTAATGGATATTAATAACCTCCAAGAGAGGGCTGCAGTAGTATATAGAAATTCTACCCTAAATTCCCAAATTCTAATCATGGAACATCTCAAAAGTTAATATTCCATTTTCACTTTGGAAAATGCTGTTATATACTTTTTGCACATGTCACAATACTTAGAACATGGTGGGTATCTACCACATATCTATCAATATCTATTAATTCTTAAGTTATGTACAACTTAGCAAACAAAGAGTAATTAACAATTACATAGTAAATATATTTCCTTTGTTCAAAAATAAATGCTTTAATTATTTGCAGGCTATTGCCTACCTAACATTATTCATTAGAAATGATGCATGATTAATTTCCTTAAAATGCACTTTATCATAGAACTCAAAATTGTATTTCAATCATGGGGATCACTTTCTCCCTCACCTAAAACAAATACAGGATTCAGGAAATTAGGACGATTCCAGTAAATATATATTTTCAAATTATTAAAAATATCATCTAAGACAAATAACTAATATTTATATAGCTCTTAAGAATCTATAAAGCACTTCTCACATACTGTATTTCACTTAATATTCCTCCAAATCCCATGAAGTACATATTGTCATACCCTCATTAAGAAAATGAGGCTTAAGATCACGCAATAAATGGCAGAAACTGTGCTGAAATCAGGTCTCTGAATTTTGAATCAGTCCTTTTTTACTTTACTATCCTGTCAGTACAATATGACAGTAGCAATGGACAAATGAAAAAATTCTTGTTCTGAAATATGACACAGGTAACAAAATAAATTTCAATAATTCTTTCATCAAAAAATTATTACACATCTACTATGTGCTAGACCCTGTTTTAGCTGTTGGGGAAATAGCTGTGAATAGCTTGGTTTCATTTTTTTAGTTGGAGTTATCCTTTTCACCCTTCTGGGAAAAGTCCTATTCCCAGCTATTTTAAACTTTCCTTTCTAATAGCAGCAGAGGCCAGATCTAAGTCAGTGGAACGACGCTCGGCGTGTGTCTGTGCTCCCCCCAAGTGCAGCTGTGCCCGGGCAGGGACGACCGAGCACTTGAAGGATGACAGCGTCGTCTGGGCCAACAGCCAGCGAGGCCCTTTTGAGCCTCATCTTGTCAGCGAAACTGAGCTTAAAAACCAGTGGGAAAGAGCTTTCCTTCCTGTAGGATCCTGAATGAGTTAACACCCTTCCTAGAATTTCTTTAAAAATACTGTTGTAAGGTATTAGAGTGGAAGAATATATTCTGAATGGCAGCATGTTCTGTTATTTTAAAATCACCATAAGACACTTCTCAATGAAAACACCAGCCAAGGCTTCCTCGCAATCTGAACCCTCTGTCCTCAAGGTCATAGATATTGTAGCCTCCACATTAAAACTCTATTTTTAAAGAAGCCACAGGGCACACTTCCTTTCCAAGAGAACTTACTGAAAACCTTGACAAGTCTCTACACCTCTACCAGCCTCAGTTTCCTCAGGTGTGGAAATAAAGGTGGTTGTTTAATTGCAAAGGCCTATGAGAATCTGACAAGGATTCTCCTCAAAACACAGATAAGAAAACATCCCCACACAATTTTATAAGGAATTCCATGGAGCTCACCTGACATCTGCTTGTGCACGCCAAACCGGGAATTACGGCATTAGGTGACCTTTCAAACGTGACTTCCAGCCTCAGTTCAGGGGTTCCAATACAGTATCTTACACCTAACGAAAGGCCCCAGCTTCTATGACATGGTCATTACTGAAAATGTGTTATTACTATTGTAGTGCTTACACTAATTAATTAAACTAATACTATTAGCTTTTCTTCTTCTGACCATTACAAAAAGGACTCAAAAGCATTTCTGGTATTTCAAATTAGGGATTCTTACTGATAAACCTTATATTGCAGCTACAGGGCTGCCGTTTCTTGTTTAAAGATTCTGAATTCAATACTTGTAACTTCATATTCTATCAATGTTCAAATCTAATTTAATTAGCATAGAAGTACTTGTTCAGACCAAAGTATTAAAATAGATGCTGAAAAATCAGGTCGCACGGCTGTCATTCATCTAAAATGATCAACAAGGGTGTGTGTGTGTGCTCAGGGAGTGCCTTCCTCTGGAGAGAAAAGCAGCACTGCGCCTTCACGTTTTACTCTAATAAAAACATATCAACAGAACATGATTCACGAAGAAAACAGTTCCAGAAACTGGGGAAGAGAGGTGAATCCTTGGGAATAGCTCTGATTTATTTTAAAGAAACCTTGAACTTATTCTAGGCATCTCTCTCTCCTCAAAATTCAACTGATTAACAGGTGTGGTTAATGGTACCTCTTATATCTCTCTTGACACTTGCATTTCTACTCCATTTTCTTTATTACACATTTGTGTTTCTTTACCGTCTTCCTCAACAGAGTGTAGGTGTATATAACGGCAGGTAGATATTGTTTTACTCAATATGGTAAAGTCAGCAATGGCACAGACAAGGTACTCAATAAATATTTACTCAGTGAAGTCAAGCCAACACAATCTCTTATCTAGAATATCGTATCTGCCGTGCTAGCTGTTTTTCTGCCCGCAGTTTTTACCTC